CGCGGCTCCTCCGCTCCCATCCTGAGACGGCCTCCCCGCACTGATCTGCAGCGCGTGTTCTTGGGTCCCCTCTCCATCACCTTTCAGACTCCCCCTTCGGCTCTGTCCCCAACCACCACCACCACCTCCCTGAAGCCCCGGGGCCTGGGCAGGGCTTTCTTGGTGGCCAGGAGTGGCCGGGTGGAGGTGAGATGGGGCACGCAGGGGATACAGGACACCCCTCACATCCGTACAAGGAGAGATGCACACGGCCCCCAAGTGTCACAGGATCTCCCTCTCTGCCCTCCACACAGAGTGACTCTACCTTGGAAACCAGAGAGCGTCCCCATTTGATATACCGGCCTGGAATGTACACCATTCATTCCCCATCGGACCCCGACTCCTCACAGCATAGGAGAGACACAGGTCCTTCCTTCACCACAGGTCGTGGGCTGTGTGTGTGCACCCAGGACGCTCCCACACGCACAGTTGGCGGCTCAATCTGATGTACCTGACACCCACACCCTCTCCCAGCCCCCCCAGTTCTGTGTGTCTAAATGGGTTGGACAGCCCCCAGCTGAAATATGAGTGCTCAAGCCTATGCCTTGAGCATGGTCTGCCCCATGGACATCCCTGCTCTGTGTCCCCACTTTGACAGGTCTATCCATCTGTCCATCCATCCGTGAGGGGCTGCGATGGCCACCTTCAGCCGCCAGGAATTTTTCCAGCAGCTGCTGCAGGGCTGTCTCCTGCCTACTGCCCAGCAGGGCCTTGACCAGATCTGGCTGCTCCTTGCCATCTGCCTCGCCTGCCGCCTCTTCTGGAGGCTTGGTAAGTGCCTGCCACACTATGCGCCATGCCAGGCCATATCATGCTGCCACATTCATCCAGACCAAGCTGTACCTTCTCCTGCCGCATCTTTCCATGCCAAGCCAGGTGCCAATATGTCCAGCCCACCTCCCACCTGGCGAAGCACCATGCTACCACACCACATCCTACTATGCCCAGCCACCCCATGCCATGCCATGCCAAGCCATGCCTTTCAGTATTCCTGGGCTCTGGGATTCTGGAAAGCTGAGGTTCTTGGATTTTGGGAACCTGGAATATCTACATCCCAACGTTATAAGATTCTGCAATGCTGGTGTCAAAGGGTTAAGGAATCCCAAAGTACCACACTACAGGGTTTGGGGAGCTGACAAGTTGAAATTCTCACATTCTAGGCTTCCAAAATGCTGGCAATCTGGATTTCTAGAATCAGGGCATGCTGAGATTTCTGAATGCTGGGATTCTGGAATGTTTCCACAATCACAGCAAGCCTACATCCAAATGCTAAGACTCTAAGCTCCCAGAGTCCCTATAGGATGCTGAGAATTTTGGAAATCTGAAATTCAAAGATGCTACATTTTCTTTTTATTTTAAATGGATGTTTTATTTTTTTTTAGGTTTATCATTTTGAAATATTTCAGTTACTGAAGTTAAGTTGAAAGAATAATACAATGAACACCCATTATATGCATTACCAGATTCTCAATGGTCAGCATCTTCCCACATTAGTCTGTCCTATCTATCTATCTATCTACCTATCTATCTATCTACCTATCTATCTATCTATCTATCTATCAATCATCTATCTATCACCTTCCTAAATAATTTGAATAACCTGCTGACACTTCACCCCAAATGCATCAGTGTGTGTCCCCCAAGAACAAGGACATCTTCCCCCAATAACCACAGCCACAACCATCACCCCTCAAGAAATCTAATCTGGTTGCAATAATATTACCCAATATAAGTTGATACTCACATTTCTCCCAGGGTTCCCAAATGTCCTTTATAGATGTTTCTTTTCTTTAAACCCAGGATTTGGCCCTGGTTGGGTGGCGCAGTTGGTTAGAACATCATCCTGATATGCCAAGGTTGCAATTCAATTCCTAGTCAGGGCACATATAAGAATCAACCAACGAATGCATAAATAAGTGGAACAACACATCGATGTTTCTCTCTCTTTCTCTCAAATCAATCAATAAAATAAGTAAATAAACCCAGACCTTGCCACCTCTCCAGCTCCCCAACACCTGCTTTGGGCCCCCTGCAGTCCCACCACATTCCAACCTCTAGGCCTTTGCCCAGGCTGTGCCCTCTGCTCAGGTTGCCCCCCATTGTTGCCAGCCCACCCAACCTCCCTTTCCTATTCTCTGTCTCTCTCTCACCTGAAGGGTTGCCATCCTACCTGAAGCACGCAAGCACTGTGGCAGGAGGGTTCTTCAGCCTCTACCACTTCTTCCAGCTGCACATGGTCTGGGTTGTGCTGCTCAGCCTCCTGTGCTACCTCGTGCTGTTCCTCTGCCGACATTCCTCCCATCGAGGCGTCTTCCTCTCCGTCACCATCCTGATCTACCTGCTCATGGGGTATGGGTGTGAGCCCTCGTCCCCACACTGTTGGCAGAAGGGTGGGTGGGTCCCCTGGCTGCTCCTCGTGAGGTTGTGCAGGACAGGAAGAGCACAGGGTGTTCCTGGAGGAGGGAATGTGGGAGACTAGTTATTTCTAAAGGCTGTACAGGACAGGCTGGGCTTGAGCTCCCCCTGGAGGAGGGAGTCCTGGAGAATTATTCCTCCATGAGGTTGTGCTGGACAGGGGTGTAAGCCTCTCTGAACCTTGATCCCCACCTCCCTTTGTGGTCTCTGAGGCCATGGGAGTCATGGGCTCAAGACCACCACCTTTTTTCCTCAGTGAGATGCACATGGTGGACACTGTGACGTGGCACAAGATGCGAGGTAGGAAGCCCTGGCTCTCTCACCTGCCCCTGCCCCACTCTACATCTAACTTCCCCAACCCTGTCTTTCCTTCCCACTTTTGTCATTCATCTGTCCTCCCCACTGGACAGGCAGGCCTCAGATGCCCTTTATATCTGTCTCCCTCTATTATGCCTCCCCCCACCCATCTGCCTTTCCCATCCCATGTATGTGCCTCACTCTTGAAAAAGGGCATCTGCCAGTCCTGGGCCTACCTGCTCATCTGCCTATAGACTCTGTGCCCACTTGTCCACTCTTGAACTTCTCTTTTCCTACCACCCCTCACCTGGTGCTCCCCCTCCCCCCATGCTGACCTGCTCTGTGCCCATTCACTTGATTATGGGCACCACACATAGGGGCCCAGATGATCGTGGCCATGAAGGCGGTGTCTCTGGGCTTCGACCTGGACCGGGGCGAGGTGGGTGCGGTGCCCTCACCCGTGGAGTTCATGGGCTACCTCTACTTCGTGGGCACCATCGTCTTTGGGCCCTGGATATCCTTCCAAAGCTACCTACAGGCTGTCCAAGGTCGCCCTCTGGTGAGGTCCTAGGTGGACAGGTGGGCAGGGACTGTGGGAGCCCCCACAGGGCAGTCTTCATGGAGCCTTGATCCCCACAGAGCCGCCGATGGCTGCAGAAGGTGACCCGGAGCCTGGCGCTGGCCCTGCTGTGCCTTGTGCTGTCCACCTGTGTGGGCCCTTACCTCTTCCCGTACTTCATCCCCCTTGATGGTGACCGCCTCCTTCGAAAGTGAGCACGGCCTTCGAGGCCTCTGCCCTGCAGAGGGGGTTGGGTAGGGACCTGGGGTCTCCCCAGCTCTGAGCCTGTCTCTTAATGCTTCTGTCTATCTTCTGTTACTACAGCAAGAAACGCAAAGCCAGGTAAATGAGGGCAGGTGCTGAGGGCGAGTGGGCTAACTGGGGGGTGGGGGCATAGTCTGTGACCTCTTGGTTCTGTTAAGTCTGAGACTATCTGACCATCTACCCCATGACTGGAACGAGATTGAATGTCTGTCTGTGGCTGTTGTTTGGCCAAGATTGGCTCTGTAACTCCATGTATGACTGACACCCTGACACATACTATGTATGAATGTCCATCTGTTCCGCTGTTTCACCTTTAGAAGCCAATTACATGACTGTAACAGGGAGTGACAGGTATGGGTTGGCTGGTGATGCTGACCTGTCTGAGACTCTGGCTAGGCGTGTGTATGGGTTGTTTGTCTCTCAGCCGCTGACTCCCGATGTGGGACTGGAGTTCTGGCTGTGCCATTGTCAATGACGGGGTGTGTGGCTGTCGTTGGGTAAGTCTGGCTTGTCTGTAACTCTGGCTGGGAATGGGTCTGACTGTAGCATGTTATGTGTCTCTCTGATGGGCCTGCCTGTGGGTCTGCCTTCTCTGGCTGCATGGTGTTGTCTAGCTGAGGGGTTGTGACCGACTGACCATCTGCCTCTGGTATAACTAGAACTGGTATAATCCAGCTCTTTGATTGTATGGCCCCTCCCTTCCCCCTACTCACTGGCAGCTGATTGTGTCTAATGCTGAACGAGGCTCTGGAAGGTGGAGTGACTTGCCCAATGTCACCCAGTTAAGCAGCCAGGCGTCAATCCCAGGCCTGATTCCAGAACCAGCCTTTTCCAATGCAGGACTCTGCCTGTGTCTATTGTATGACTGACAGGATGACTGTTGGGGGTAGACTTGCGTGTGTGTGCAAAGCAGGGAGAATGATGATCTCTGTGCCTAACTATAGGACTTTTGTATGTCTTATGGTCACTGAGTCAGGTTAGAGAGCTGCAAGGCTGGGAGTCTGATACTATTTGTGTCTGGCCACGTGGCTGTGTCACGGTGTAGGGCTGTTAGGACAGGCCTCTGATAGAGGCTGGGTCTGGATGTCTGGCCATGTGAGACTGCGGGACTATATCATACTGTGGAGCAGCTCACACACCCATCTGAGCCCCATGAAACTGACAGTGTATGCATGTCTGTGGCTATCACACTGCACCTATGTTTTTGCCACTATGTTTCTGTCTTGTCTAAGACCAACTCAGGCCAGCCTCCTGGGCCTCTGACTCTCTTTCCTTTCTTCTCTGCTGCCTTCCTGACCCCTGGGGGCCTTAGGGGCACCATGGTAAGGTGAGTCTACAGAGTGGGGCTGGGGATGATGGCACATGGCGGGGTGTCATGCCGGCCCCTGGGCATGATGCCTCTCCCCCTTCTCCTTTCCCCCCAGGTGGCTGCGAGCCTACGAGAGTGCTGTCTCCTTCCACTTCAGCAACTATTTTGTGGGCTTCCTGTCTGAGGCCACGACCACGTTGGCAGGAGCTGGCTTCACCGAGGAGAAGGATCACCTAAAATGGTGGGAAGGGCTGGGGGACCATCCTCTCCCTCAGGGTGTTGCCTAGAGGAGCTGCAGGGAGGAAGTGGGTGCTCCCGTGGGAGGAAACAACCAAGACGAAAGTGTGGCAGTCAGATGAGTTGAGATCCCAGATGAATTTGTATACCTTTTGCCCACAGGGACCTGACAGTGTCCAAGCCACTGAATGTGGAGCTGCCTCGGTCCATGGTGGAAGTTGTCACAAGCTGGAACCTGCCCATGTCTTATTGGCTAAATAACTGTGAGTCATCAAGTCACCCATCCAAGAGTGGGGAGTCCTCACCCCAGGCCCTCTTACATAGTCATAGAACATTCACTGAGAACCTATTGTATGCTAGGCTGAAGGTACTGCAGAGACCAAAAATGACAACAGCCCCAAATCCCTGCCCTTGTGGAGCTGGAATTTCTGTGGGGGGAGCACATTATAAGAGAAAAAATAGCCTAGCCGGTGTTGATCCATGGTTGAGCGAGGACCTATGAACCAGGAGGTCACAGTTCAATTCCAGGTCGGTCAGGACACATGCCCGGGCTGCATGCAGACTTGATCCCCAGTATCAGGTGTGCAGGAGGCAGCCGACCAATGATTCTCTCTCATCATTGGTGTTTCTATCTCTGTCTCCCTCTCCCTTCCTCTCTGAAATCAATAAAAATATTATTTTAAAAGAGAGAAAAATACACAAGAGTTCAGATGGCGATGAGTGCTATGGTGAAAAATAATAATAATAAAGCAGGAAAGGATGATGTGGAGTGTTGGCAGTGTGGGTGGGATGTCGCAATTTTAAATAAATTAACAGAATAAGTCCCACGGAGGAGGTGACATTTGAGCCGAGATCTAAATAAGGTGAGAGAGCAAGCATTATAAATATGTGGGGAAGGAGTGTAACAGAAGGAGAGAACAGCCAGTGCAAAGGTCCTGAGACAGGAATGTGCCTGGCATGTCTGAGGAGACTGGTCAAGCAGAAGGAAAGAGAGGGAGAAGGCCAGTAGCAGGAGGTGAGGTTGGAGAGGTGACAGGGGCCTGGTCCTGTGGACCCTCACTGGCCACAGGGAGGACTTTGGCCTTTTCTCTCAGAGAGCTGGAGCCACAACAGGGGTCTGAGCAGAGGAGGTCTTTGGGCTGACGGGTTGTAACAGGACCCTCTGGCTGCTGTGAGGACAGATGGGGAGGGAGCCAGGTGGAAGCAGTGAGGAGGCCCCTGCAGTAGTGCAGGTGGTGGAGGCAGTGGACATGGCGAGGAGAGGTCAGATTCCGGGTAAATTCTGATGGTGAAACTGACAGGATTTGCTGAGTTTGG